CTAGTAAATAACTAAGTGTCTACTCAGAAGAAACCCACACTGAGCTCAGTGGGCCTTACTCCCATGCAAGGGTATGTGGGACTGTAGTGTTTTATCTAGGCAGCCAGGGTTTCTCTGGATGACAAGGTGTTTTTGCTTTTTAAAAATTCACCCATATATACAGAATTCCCTGTGCACCTTTTGGACAGTATCTGTTTCCCCCTCTGTGTCAAATAACTGGGGTCAAATAAGTGTTGTTTACTTTTTATAATACATGGAAGATGGATCTCCCTTGGGAGGTTGTGGACTCTCCTTCCTTGGTTTCTAACCAGAGGTTGGATGGTCAACTGTCATAGATGCTTTAGCTGAGTTTCCTACATTGCAGGGGGTTGCACTAGAAAGATGACCTTTCTAGCAGTAGGGGGGGTGGAGGGCAGCACAGGAAGAAAACAAGGCGGGAAGGGTCCATGTTCGGGAAAAGGTTGAGAAACACTGGTTTAGGGAATGCAGGGCATAGCTCTGTCCTCCAGCACCCCGGGATCTTCTGCCGGAGGCGGCCGTCTCACTCCCCTTAATGATATGGCTGGCCACATCTCTACTCATAAATGTAGCTAATCAGAATGGTCAGATTATGGGCTTAAAAGTAACATTTGAATCTTAATGTGTCATGAAGCCGCTTTCAATCATTCCCACCCCCACTCCCGCCAGTGAAAATTGTGACACTAAGTAGCTGGAAATGGAAATGGCTTCCAAATCCAGCCCTCCTCCAACAGTAATGGGACCCTGTCCTATGCAGAAACCTAAGGTTGTTGGTTCCCCTGTGATTTGCTTTCTTGCTCTCTGGTGCCATCTGTTGGCTGAGAGTAGCCCATCATTACTGTAAAATATTAAGGGGAAAAAATCATGCTGCATGCAGTTTCTCTGGCACTGACTCTAACATAAATAAAGACCTCCCTATTTCCACCCCCCCCCAGAAGAGCGGTGTATACTTTTGCAAGATGGAAGTGCAAGAACTAATAAAATATATGGTTTAATTAACTAAACTTATGCTGCAGTATACACTAGAAGTAAGTGATTTACTGAGCGTTATCCTCTTCAGGACAGAATAATGTAAACAGCATAATTAAAAGTTGATGAGAAGTATATTTATTGAGCGCAAAGGATGAACAGACACTTAGATTTATGGTACACAAAGTGTACCTTTAGTTTACAATATTATTAACGTTTTAAAGTCCAAAGCCTGCGCGTAATGAATTCAAAGTGCTTTGTTCCATGTAGAGATTATTTCAGCAGTGCTAATACCTCACACTTTGGATAGTAAATTACATCTCCGGTCATATCCTAATGCAATATGATCTATTATGATCAAGTGATTACATTCATTGAGACATCTATGGCTACAATATATCAAGTTGTCTATAAAGTCACATGGAATAGATGAAGAACCATTTATTCATTTGTGACGTGGGTTTCAGAGCTATTCATCATTGACTGTACCACAAAATGAATACCCACTGTTTAATTTTAATTAATCTGTAGATTCATCTTTGTTAACACTAAAGTCTTTTTTAAAAAAAACAGCCCAAAGGATAGTGTGCATAGTACCTTTGTGTGTAATGCTTGGATCACACATTATATTATGCAGATAAGTATGATATTTGGGAAGCAAATGTGTAAACCAGCACACTTATACACACTAAAACAAACTTTGGTTAAGTTTTGTTGTTGCTGTTGCTGCTGCTGCTGCTTAGATAGCCAATAAGAACAACATTATCATTTACTTCTCTGAGATGGACCATCTGGTATGAGGAGCTAAGCCAAGATGGTGGATAAATTTTCAGGGATCATTATGAAAGGGTTGCGAAGTAACTCAGTTCTCAGAATCAGTCCTATTTAAGCTAGGGATAGTCATGTGACCGGTACAGGAAATGTTGCCCTCTCTGTATGGGCTTCATTTGTCCTCAGTGACATCAGGACATTGCTAAATCTGATTGGCTGTATGACATTGTGGTGTCATAATGTTCGGAATGTGATCCTGATCAGTTGGAACTTTCCACTACTTTCTAAACACTACACATAATTTTACTCGCCTCCGTTATGTCCCCACTTAGTCACCTTTGCCCCCAAAACTAAAAAGGCTAAGATACTGCTATATCCTCAGAATATAGTTGTTCCATTATTCTGATTATTTCAGTTGCTCCTTTCTGCACCTTTACCAACTCCACAACATACATTTTTAAGCTGAGGTGATCAGAATGGTACATAATATTCTAAATGTGGTTGCACCACAGATTATTATTAGTTGTAACATGGAATTTGCCTTTTTTCACAGCTGCTGCATTATGGTTCCAACGTTATCCACTGTGACCCCCAAGATCACATTCCTCATCTTTCACTGTAGGCCTGGGTGATATATTGAGGGCCAGAGTGCAATGGCGCCTTCATCTGGCAGTATACTATGGGTGAAATCGCCATCACTCCTGAGTGATCACGCCATCACTCCGCGCAGAGGTGGGAAGAACAACAACAACAATTTATTATTTATACCCCACCCATCTGGCTGAGTTTCCCCAGCCACTCTGGACGGCTCCCAATTGAGTGTTAAAAACAGTACAGCATTAAATATTAAAAATTTCCCTAAACAGGGCTGCCTTCAGATGCCTTTAAAAAATAGGATAGCTGCTTATTTCCTTGACATCTGATGGGAGGGTGTTCCACAGGGCGGCTGGTGCCACTACCGAGAAGGCCCTCTGCCTTGTTCCCTGTAACCTCACAATGAGGGAACCGCTACAAGGCCCTCAGCACTGGATCTCAGTGTCCGGGCTGAACGATGGGGGCGGGATGGAGACGGGACCAAGGCCATTTCCAAGCTGCAGCGACCCCAACCCTGGCAAAGGGCCAGGGTGAAATTGTCACCGCTCCAGCCGAGGGTGCAAGGGACCCTAGTTACACTTCACACCTACGCAAACCAGATCTGGTTTCAAGGGAGTCAGGAATAATGACATAATAGAGTGAAATTTGATGTGTATGTTCAGAACACTACTCTACACTTGAAGGCCAGCTTCAACCCCACAACGATTTTTAAGGGTGGGAGAAGGTACAAGTAGTTTGTAAGGGAACATCTCAGTGCGGTATCCCTTCCAATGTTGTGCTTTGCCTTTATTTTTGATGGCCACACCATTCTTCTCCTGAGACAAAATTTCAGTCCATATGAGTGTGGGGGTTTTCACCTGTTCTCGTGATTATTCTTTTGTGGCTTAGATGAATCAGGAATGTGCAAAATAAAGGAGAAAGGGCCTAACCCGATGGGATGTTCTCCTCTGGAAGCTCCAATGAAACGTACAAGGAGGACTGCACAGTAGTTTGTGCACAAAGTGGGAAAATAAAATACGAGCGCCTATTCATTACCCGGTTCATTACACTTTTTAGTGCTTATTAAATCATTGTTAAATGATTTAATTTGTATTTGAAAAAGTGGAGGGTAGAGATTAAAGGGATAAAACGCTGAGCTTTCTGTTTAGGAACTGGCTACAGACTACATGTTAAAGTCTTGAAAATTAATTTGTCTGTCTCTTGTAAGGGTTAGCCTCCATCAGAATCCACATTACAGAGTTTGGCTTATTTTTGCTTAATTGGAAAGGCTTTCTCTGGGGAGGACCAGGTCTAGGCAATGGATAAAATAAATCAGCTAATCTGCCAGTTCATTCAGGTTAAGATTCATCTTTCTTTTTCTTTTCTTTTTCAACAGAGGAACAATAACAAAACGTAGAGAAATTAATGCAGCACCTAACCACATAACATCAAAATATTGAGATTAGTATTATATTACACATGCATATTAATAAGATACAACACACACACATACACAGGTATACATGTGCATGCAGATAACTGTTAGGCTCCATAGTCTGCCCTCTATTAAGACAGAAGCCGGGATTCTTATAATACGTGATCCAACATAATAATGGACATATTATGTTATGTTGGTAGTATATTATGGGACGGGGAAGCTTATGTTAGCACATAAGCATGAAACAAAACAAGGCAAACATTTTCAGATTTCAGTTGTGCACATCCATTGCTTAAAGCTATGTTGTTCTTTACATCTATAGTAGTCCAGATGTTGATGGAATCCCCCTCCCATGAGCCCCATCTAGCATGGCCAAAAGTCAGGCATTATGGAAGTTGGGCTCCAGCAACATCTGCAGGGCTGCAGGATCCCTGTCCTTGACATAACTGTTAGGCACATTTTCATCAGGTGCAATGGGGTTTGAACCAAGAACCTTGCTGGTTGGGCACCAGTTCCCTACTTCTCACATCGGTGGAGTCACCAGTCAGAGAAGATAGTTTCAGGCAGCTGAAACCAAGCTGCTAAAAATGAAGGCGAGAATACTCCTCATACTAGGTGATTTTCCCAGAGAACAAATCCCAAGCCACTGTCTCCTATAGAACTCCGCTGTTGGGGAATAATGAGTCTGATCACCGAGGGAGGCCATTCTCCATACCCTTTCCTGGACTACTGCTCCTCTTGTTCCTGGTACCACTTCTACAGTCAAGGAGCTGAAGAGCTAATGTAGCCTTTGGCTAGGCTCAGACCAGACTATTGCACCTGACAAAAGAGAATACATCTATTTTTGCAATATATTTCTTCTTGCTAACTGGAAACCAGTGTCTTCATTTTGCTTTTACTGTTTTATTTTTTCCTTTCTAATTATAGGTTCTAGAGAAGCCACCTCCAGTCCCAAAGGGTGGAATCATAAGCGGTGGCACACTAACTTGCAAGAAAGTCCCATTGAAATAAATGGAAGTTATTTCCATGCAAATATGTTGTCTGTAAAATACAAAGAAGAGTCAAAGCAATATTTATATGTTTGCTCTTTGTCTTTTTTTTTGTAAGAACCATCTCTGTGTTTAGCAGCAGGATACAAAAAATAACAATATGTATATGTACACCACTCTGAGCTTTTTGAACCAAGGGTAAAATTAGATCAATTGATCGATCAATAGATAGAGAGACTCACCAGTGTGGCTAGTTGGATGTGTCAATCTTGCAAGTAACTCAAGATACTATAGGAGATAATTAAAGAACAAGAGAGATATTATCAGGGCAATGCGATGGAGTCAGATTCTTACAGTCTATTCAGATCGTGTAGTCAAAAATAATCACAGCTGAAGATAGGTCTAGACAGTAAAGAAAAAAAGGGGGGGGGACCACACATTATTCCCAAGCCAAAGGATGCAATGGTTCACTGATTATCCAGATTAGATCCAGGTAGTTTGGCATTTCCACTGATAGATATGTTTACTGGTCTGCTACTACTGGAGTTTGCCACATGGCACAAATATCCTCTTGCAGTATTAGTACTGAGGGGGCAATCTATGAATTGAACCATACAGAACAATTCCAGCAAAGAACAGTTCTCAAATAAGATTACTTATGCAGGTAATCATCTAACATGAAGCAACTAAAATCTGCATCCTTTTAAGACACTCAGTGAGTTCTTTCAGCTTTCTAGGGAGCACTTGGTAATCTGCAGAATTTTTTTTAGTAGTTTTCATTCTAGATTTTGGATACTGTTCTCTAGACTAGAGTAACACTAAGCAACGTATCACACAGCTTCAAACCCCAAGAAGCATACATCTGAAGGTAGCTATAGAATGAGTGAATCACCTTCAGCCTTTGTTTTAAAAGCAACAGGATTGCAAGAGAAACATTGGAATTATGTCCACAAGAGCCAGAGGCTCATCCCATTCACTACAGCTTTGGACAGCACTGTACTCCACCAGAAGTGATAGACTTGTAGTTTGGGAGTTTTTTTTTTCTGGATATAGCTTTGCTCCTGGATAAGCAGGTTGTTGTGGTGGTGGCCAAGAGCATCTGATGTCCCAACCACAATCTTTTACAGACAGAGCTGATCTTGCCAGAGTTATACATACCCTGGCCACTTCAGAATAAGATTGCTGCAATGGCTCTATGTGGGGCTGTCCTTGAAATCATGTCCAGGAGCTTCAGCAGGTGCAGGATGCAGTGACAAAGCTACTGACAGGAACCTGACCATGTAACAAGTTTTATCTCAATTGCACTGGCTCCTGGTTCCAGTTCAAAATGATGGTTATCACATTTGAAGCCCTAACAGTTTGGGACTAAGTGATCTGAAGGACCCTTTCCTTCTGCACATAGGAACACAGAAAGCTGCCTTATCAGAGCAATGGTCCATCTAGCAGAGTATTTTCTACACTGACTGGCAGCGGCTCAAAAGGATTTCAGGCAGGAGTCTCTACCTGGAAATGCTGAAGACTGAACCTAGTACCTTCAGCATGGAAAGCAGGTGTTGTACTACTGAGCTACAGACTGTTCTCTTCCTGTACACTGTGATAATCAGAAGTGGCCCTGCTGCTTGCGAAGATGTGCAAGATAGGAGCACAGGACCAGGCCTTCTCTACAGCAGTACATAGGAAATGGAATACATTGCTCCAGGAACTTTGGCAGGCCTTCCTCGCTGTGTGGATATAGGTGACAAGTGAAAACAGCTTTGTTTAGGCACACATTTTCTCTCTAATGCACTTTCTCGTTTTTGAAGGTTGTCGTCATCTGTGGCTGCTGCCATGTGTGCTGCAGTGGAATTAGTTTTGTGCTTCATTTGATACTGTTCATTTTACTCTTAGCGTGATTTGGTGTTTTCATATGCTCTGTTGGCTACGCTGAGAGCCCTTTCTAGGGCTGATGATGCAGGCTATCCATGATCATATAAACAGATAAATAAAACTTCTATAAAAAAGGACTAAGTGCTTCCATTCCAACTTCTGGGATAGTTTCAGAGAATAGCAAAAGTGAGGTGCAGGGTTCATATCTACACATACCTTGTTTCCCACATAGAAGTAACCATGCATTCACCATTCAGGGCCCTGGCAGTAACTGTGCTGCAAGGACTGGGCCCCCATATGAATTGGGCTCCAGGGAACGGTGCTTGCATACTCATTTGGGACAAGAAATAAAATACAAGGCATATGTTACCATAAAATAAATCTGTTGGATTTATTTTTTGTCTCAGGCAACAGGTAACACACAGAAAAGCAAGAAATTAAAAATGCAACCATCAAGAATTAATGACACAGTATCCACCAGCATCGCCCCCAGTCTCAAGGACAACTGTACTCCAGCCACTTTCCTACAAGCAAGGCAAAGGGCTCTCAGTCCTTTCTCCCTAAATGTCAACAGTAGGAGACAATGGCAGCGTGTCTCAGCTGTTCATATCCACGGACAAGTGGAATGGAAGGGAACAGCTAAATTTCATCACAAGAGGAGGGCTCTGCTAAATCCTTTGCTGTGTTCATAGTGACAAAGAGGGATTCAGGAGCCTTTTGCCTCTGCCATACTTCATATGGGAGTGTGTCCATAGGTACAGCCTTGTTTTGCTGGCCCTTTGGCTCCTGCCCTGTCACAGATATGACACCTAGTAAAATAAGTTGCTGACTAGGGACTGAAAACAATCTCACCGCCTCACATGAAGGTCCCCTACATAACCCACCTCGGTCTGGTTTAGGAAACCTATATTTTCAAATCAATGTTTCCTTTCACTGTATTATTAAGGGCACCTTGGGAAGCCTTTGGGGAAAGGGGCAAGTGCGTTCCCCTTTGTTTTCTCCAAGCAAGCTCTTCCAGCTCTACTCTTAACAGATGGTAGCCTACCAGAATTTCCCCCCTTTCCTGCCTGTGATGTTAAGTATGATTTACAGGCCTGAGTTATTATTTATCATTATTCATTTCCTGTCACCAGTGCATTGAAGGTTAATAGAAATGCCAGCATGCTCACTGATTTACTTAGTAAAATATTTGTTCCAAGGTTTTAGGTCAGATGATTGGTGTCTGAGAGAGCTTCAGGTTTATGCATTATGAAAAGCAAGCTGACTTGACCTTGAGCCACCAATACTGGCACTATATATTACTTTAGCAGAGTGACCTTCAGAGACCCAAGACACTCGAGATGTATTCAACACATGCTTTTTCCATCCATATTGCTGCCAGCATTGTATACATAAGCAGCTTAACTTATGCCATGAAAGCCAATAATGGCTTTCCCACCTAATGAATCTGAGCAGGGTGATTTAAAATAAAAAATAAAAAAATACAGCAATCTTGCTTCTGGGTCTACAAACTGTCTTAGAATTCTAGAACCCCCACATGCACTGAACTTCAGCAAATGCTTTAGACTAATTGAGACTCATTTATCAAGTAAGAATGATCTATGTAGCAGATTGGGAGAGGAGGGGTCTTACTCAAAAACTCACTTTGCACAGCTGTAAATCATATCTAATGTCAATGGGGAAAGTAAGAGGACAACTGAGGATGTAAGTTGATCTTTGAAGAAAGCTTCTCACCTCAGCTGGGTGTTCAAAGCTAAAATTTCCACTACCTATTTATCACTGTAACTCTTACAAACTGCCGCCAATCTCTTGGAGGCAAATATGCAGGCAGCCCACTAAGTGATGCACCTCACCAAAAGAAGTTACCCAAATTGTTATTTTAATTTATTTATACAAGCAATTGTATACCACTTTTCATAAAGGAAAATGATCACCAAAGGGTTTCCAAAAACCCAACAATAATAAATAATGTCAATATAAATGATACATTTTGAACAGGTGCAATAGAAATTATGAAATGGAATAAAACACCAAATAATATAAGAATACCATAAAACCTACAGAATAGGGCAGCATCAAAGCTTTAAAATCCATAAATAACAGCCAACTAGATCTACCATAGGTCTATGTGGATAAAAACTTCTTTAGGTAGTGACAAAGGCTCATCCATGCCACTAGGGGAAGTTCCATTAAATGGGGTGCCACCACTGAGAAGGCCCCATCTTGGGTTCTCATACAGTGAAAAACATTTGCTGGGAGTGCTGATATAATAGCCCAGACAGGTTGGTATTTGCAGATGTGTTCTCTCAGATATTCAGGTCCCAAGTGATTCAGGCTTTATACATCACCATAAGAACCTTAACTTGGGACTGGTAATATATGGGCAGGTAATGCAGATTCCACAAAACTAGTGTTATGTGACTATTCACTGAGGTGTCAGTATTCAGCTCTAGCTGCAGTTTCCTGGCTATTTTCAAGGGCAGCCCCATACAGAGTGTATTACAGTAGTCAGGATGAGAGGTTAGTGGAGAATCAAAACTGTGGCCAGGCTATCCCAGAAAAGGCCAAAGCTGACAAAGCAGACTTAGCTAGAAAAAGGTGCTCCTAGGCACAGAGGCCACCTGGCTCCCTAACGTCAAACACAGATCAAGGAGAATAATCAGGCTATGCACATGGTACTTTAGGAGGCACATGACTCCATCCACAACAGGTTGAATAGTGTGTTTCCTGATGCAAGAACCCACCCATCAACAGTGTTTCCATCTTACTGGGATTCAGCTTCAGCTTACTGTGCCCCACCTTGACCACCTCCAGGTTCTGATTCAGCACCAACAAAGCTACATCTGGTTCTGATGTAATGGACATACAGAATTGGATGACATCAGCATACTGATGAGACCAAGCTCCACACCCCAAACTTTATGATGACTGAACCCAGCAGCTTCAGTAGGGGCAAGATGGAACCCTGCAAATCAATCGGCACTGGGCTGCGGAGAAATCAACCAGTGCTACTCTCTGGAGATAGCTCTGCATAAAAAAGGAACTTTGTAGCTCCTACCACCATTTCACAATGGGCAACCCCAGAAGACTGTCTTTGTTGAGAACCTCTCTCAAGTCACCATGTCAGCAGAGCAGGCCAGCATCTTGTTTGAACAGAGAGTACCGGTATATCCTAAAACATGACCCCAGAATCCTGTGCAAGTCACAGAATTCTGTGGCAGACAATGAGGCGGTCAACTTGACATACATATGGGGGGGGGGGCAGAGAGGGAACATTTGGGAACATGTACATATATAGATTGCTGTGATAAAGTGAATGTTCCAGTCTGGATGAGAAAATCTGCCTGTATACTCTTAAAAATGAAGGCCCTGTCCAATTTAGAATCATGATAAGAATGTGATCCCAGACAAATTTCCCCATC